AAAAAAACAAAAAGCATTTCCTGCCTCTTCATTGTTTAAAAAATGTAAATAAATAATCAAATGTGTAATTGTCAGCAGCATAATAGCTTTGACAGCCCAACTCTTTCAGATTAAAAAGCAGGGTGGTTTTTGGCATCTTCCACCATGCATCTTCTGTTATATTACTTTAAAAACTTAAGAAAAACCCCACCAGCAAAACAAGAAAGACTTTAAAACACTCAACCCCAACATAATATTTTTCTAAATTTAATCAGTGCTAGGTGTTGCAGTATATATTAATATGTCTAAAGCTTGCATTAAAAATGCATTTCATCTGATTTAAGTATTTGTGAAATGGCAGTTGTGCCCAGCCACTTGTCTTTTATCTGAGGGAAGCATGTTACCTGATTCATCCAGACTTTGACACTGCATGCACCACTCCCCTTCAGAAACATCTTCAGTTTTGAAGTGTTATTGAAGCCCTTTGTTCAGTAAATCTTCTGAAAACAGCCATTCTTAGTGTAATGAATAGAACAGAAAAACATCCTGATCTGGACATACAAATGCTAAAGACCAAGCTGAGAGTTATTTAATCTTCTTAATTCAGCAGAAGCTTCACCTAAAATCTCATTACTATTTCAGATGAAGGGGTACAGGAATGAATGTGCTGGTAGACTTAAAACAAAAACGAATGGTCTTCCCCTGTGCCTGGCTGTAGCCTGTCATTACTTCTGAAGGTTCTGTTTCGCACATTGTAAAGCAGTATTTTTAATGTTTTAAATGGGTTTTTTTCATACTAAGCAAGTTGTTCAGAAGAATGTATTTACTGTGTACCAACAGTAAGGCATAACTTGGAGCAATCAATACTGTAAATTAAAAAAAAAAAAATTAAAGTTCTTTTACTGTGTGTGTCTGGAATTAAGTGAAAAACTGTAGGTGCCCAGGTTTACATCATTAGGAAACCAAATAAACAAAAACTCCATGAGAAAAAAAAGTAAATGCTACTTGAGTTGGTGGGAGAAGTACTTAAAAGCGTGGCAGAGTTAGAAAGTATTGTGGACTAGAACCAGCAAAGCTTTTTTATCAATGTGCTCCTTAACAGTACTTTTGCTGTGATTCCCAAGTAAGAAGGGAGATAAATCAAGGTAGCTTGAAAGCTGTAGCTGTACTGTAGGATGGACTGAGTTGAATTATATCAAAAAAGAATAGTGTGCTTAGTGCCTAAGCTTCAAAGAGCTGTTATTCAAAATTAAGCATGAAAAGAACTAAGATTACTAACAATGGTCTCAGTGGTTGCTACCATATGTGTTGTGATTATTTTTTTCTTTCCAAACTAACTTGCAAGCACCATTTCTTACAATTAGGGAGACAGACAATATTAACCAACAGCAACTTCTTTTACTAGAAGCTTGTTAAGAAAGAGCTTCAAATCGCAGTAGTTTATTACTGTTCCAGTTTTCAGAAGTGATGTTTATCAGCACCTTTATGGCTGTGCAGAACTTAGTTTTCTCTGTGCCAAAATCCTGATAGGGCAGTTGTAGATACAGAATGTAACCATACCCAACTCTGCAGCCTTCTAAAATGGTTATGGTGGATTGCATGGAGAGAGTTGTGACACCCTGTTCTGTCAGCACCTATATGAGGTCAAAAAAGACCATGATCTCTAAGTTTCTCTTGTCTACAACTTGTTTCTTCTCCAGATCAATTAGAGAAGAGTATTTTTTGGTAAGGTGCTATTTAATTCTGCACAGGCAACCATTTACAAAAAGTAAGCTACCTGTCCTCAGAAAAACTTCAGGAAGAAGCAGAGTGATCCTTTGCCCATAGTAAGCAGGGGACACAGTTGAGCTTGGCTGTTCTATCTGTACCTCAGAGACCTTGGTACAAAGAAAAGTACTGCTTATATGTACCACGGAAGAGGGAGAAAATATAACTTTTAATTTTAGACTGAGCATGCATCCTTGTTTACATTTTAGGGAAAAGGCCCTTCAGACCTTTAGAACGTCATCTTTTTGTGTATGCAGCCCTAGACAGCCCTATACGTAAAAGATTTGTTGTAGGCAACTCGCAGCTGTTTGCCACTGGACAAACACAATACTATGGTGTTTCTAGTAACTGATAAAGAATACTGAAACAGAAGGAGGTTACAGTACCACTTCTTGAGGTAAGTCTTAGTGCAAGGGCCTGGGTGGGTTCTTTGCAGGGTGGGAAGTAGATATCTGGGTCAGTTGTGTAATCAAGCTTCAGTTCTTTGATTTCTGGTTTATATTATAGAGTAGGAGGAGTAGGGTTTGCCTTTGTTTTATGAAGTACCACATTTAGTGGTTTTCTTTCTGACACTGGTATCAGTCTAGACACTTGGCATTTCAGTAGTTCCTTTACAGTTCCAAATTAGGGAATCAAGGCACCGTTGCCAAACATTGCAACATCTCATAGAAATGATTCTTGGCTACTAGTTTATGGCTTTGATGGGGCATGCCTTTAAAACTGATCTTGTAATATTTTCACATGTACTTATGCAAAGAAATGAAGATTGTCAAAAATGAGAGGAAAAGGTAAAATCCAAAAGTACACCTTTTCACACTATGACTTCAAAATAAGTAGGATACTTTTAAAATTATAACATCTATTAGTTATGCATTCCATTGAAATTTAGTGATACAGAAGCTATTTTGTTTATTTAGGGCCTTAATTCAAGTGTAACCACTCTACAAACAACTTAACTTGGGAAAGTTCCATTTGTTGCTGTCTATCCAGTTGTAGATAATTGCTTCAGTTGAAGATGTGTTCATTTTGATAGATCTTGTCTTGTATAGGATTATGTAATACTTTCCTTTTTTTCAGTATAAAGTACAGTATCAGTGATCCAAAAGAAGTGTGATACATTATGCTTCTTTTGTGGGGAAGAACAAAAATTAAACAACTTATAGATAAGAATTAGATATTCTAGTCTCTTACATATATCAAAGACCATTGAGTTGCACACATTTACCTCTGTATTAAGCCTTGTCATTTGCCTTTATCCAAAACACATCCTAAAAACTCTTCCAGGGCCAAAGCCAACTGAAGTCTCTGTTTTACTGCATACAGGATGAGTTGAACCATTTCAAATTGATGTCCTGAAAAGCAGGTTATTCTGGGAGGTGAGCAGCCCAGAGCTAGCAGTAGGAAATGTTACGCTGGGGAAGGATGTGAAATCCCGTCCCCTCCCGTGCTGCAGTGGCTGAGTCAGGACTCCAGATAATTGTCACTATCTGCTCATGATTCAGAGCTTGCATGTAAGTACTTGCATGGTTTTTTCCAGGATTGTTCTTTTGATCTGAAATACAGAAAATATGGTCGCCTTTTGAATATTAGTTTCTGGTTAGAGATCTCACAGGAGATAAGACATGGATGATGTTTGCTTGTGTGACATGATACAGATTCACATCCCCAAGTTTCCAGAAGGCTGAATTCACCACCAAACTGAACGTATGTGCTGGAAAGAAGATGCTCTATGCCTCTGTTGGAGCTGTCATTATGCAAAAGGAGATCTAGAAAGAAAATTAGCAAAGGAGGAACTAACTATAGCAAAGTGTTCAAAACACATACCTTGGAGCAGGGGAGGTATGTTCTTTCCAGGTTATTTATGCCTGTGGTTTTAAACAGTGTTGGATAAAAATAAACCTGGCAGTAGAAATCAGAAGTTGTTAACTCTGCTGGTTTTACATCTCATTAAAGCTGTTCAATGCAGCTTGCTTATGCAATGTGAGCCTCTGCCTTGTATTTTTCAGAATCACCCACTCTCCAGATGCATCTTCCCCTTCCTTCGTATGTTAAAGTGCACTTTCTTATCTAAGGCTGTGCTTGCTGTCCCCATCTTACCACACTGCCAGATTTTGGTCATAAGCACTCAAATCAAAAGCTGTTACTGGAAATGCTGAGTAGAGTTCTCACTCTTACCATAATCTGCAGAAATTCACTGCTGATGGTCCCATTCATTCGTGAGAGTTTGATGACAATTTCTTTTTAAGATGTCTGATGATTCTTAATCTATGGGACAATGCCTTTTATTGATCTTCTTTAATTCTAAATTTTTAATAGACCTAACTAAAGAAGGTAGCTTTTACCTGCACTATACCTCAGGATTGTTCGGGGTATGAGATGCATTTTTTGGTATGAGATGCAGTGTGGTGATGTGAGCACTCCCTGATGTATAATGCTTCTAGACAAGTAGGAAAGATGCATCACATACACTGCATTTTAAAAATGTCATTAGTGTCACCTACGTGTCACCAGTACCCTCAAGAATCAGGTGCTCTTGCTTACCTAGGTTTCATTGCAAGAACGTGCCTATGCTGACTGTAACCAGCCTTTCCCTGAAGGCAGGTCTCATATTTCTTCTTCCACTGCTGATTTGTTAATTGGCAGAGAAGAAAGGAAATCAGATTTCTCCATACCTTGCCATGTTTCCTATAGGACTCCTGTCATTTTATTTCCAGTTATTCTGTCGGTTTATTTGCTATTAATCATGGAATCACAGAATCATTTAGGTTGGAAAAGACCTCCAATATCATTGATTCCAACCTTTGACCAAGCACCACCTTGTCAACTAGACCATGGCACTAAGTGCAAACAACATCCAGTTGTTTCTTGAACACCTTCAGGGATGGCAACTCCACCACCTCCCTGGACATTCTGTTCCAATGCTGAACAACCCTATCCATGAGGAAGTTCTTCTTGATGTCCAACCTAAACGTCCCCTGGCACAGCTTGAGGCTATGTCCTATCCTCCTGTCACTAGAAAGAAGAGACTGACCCCCACTTGGCTACAACCTACTTTCGAGTAGTTGTAGATCATCCCTGAGATTCCTCTTCTCCAGGCTAAACAACCTCAGTTCCCTCAGCTTTTTCTCGAAGAACTTACTCTCTAGATCCTTCACTAGCTTCATTGCCCTTCTCTGGACTTGCTTCAGCACCTCAATGTCTTTCTTGTAATGAGGGGCCCAGAACTGGACACAGTACCTGAGATGTGACCTCACCAGTGCTGGGTAAAGAGGAATAATCACTTCCCAGGCCGAATACTAGATATTAGATCTGGAGTCCTTCCAGTGGTATTTTTATAGGAAAGGTACCATGTTTTCAATTCCACAAATCTTTGCCATAATGAATTATTGTAATTATCATGTACAAATTGTCACTGGTTGACTACCCATCTGGTCTTTCTCTTCTTCATTTTATGTTACTATTAAAATTTGTACTTCTTTTATACTGTCTGAACTGCAAGCAGCTTCTTGTACTTTACTATTCAAATGTAGTCTTTAATTTACACATCTCTTAACTCTGTGATGGGCTTTAAAAAAGTTTCCAGTTAAAGACTTGAAAAATCCTTTTGTATTGTTTCAATTTTTTTTATGTATTTTTTTCTTAATTCACTGAAAACGGTTTGGTTGCAACTGGGTACCCAAGAAAATGTCTTTTCTTGTGAGCCTCAGAAGCATGCTTCCAAAAAGCAATGATGGAAGTGTGGAGAAACGTCTTCAACTGGCAGCATTTGATCGGTTCCTTGCTTACAGCCAACGAACAGGAGAGGGAGCCAATGTACTAAAAAGCTGCAGAAGAATTGTAACCTGCACTTGAAGGTAATTTTAAACAAACCTCGGACAGTTTGAAAGACGAATTTCATTTGTACAAGAAGCGATTTTAATGTAAGTGCTCAGCAGAAAGCACTGAAGATGATTAGTATGGCTAAATGCATTGGTTTTTCTGCAGTAAGTATAGGTTATTCTGAAGTCCTAAGCCGATTCATGTTTTATATTTCATGAGGCTAGCTCGAGTTTGAAATAGCCTGTATTAAATTTCAGCCTATTCAAATGGTAAAAGATTCAGTTAGCAAAATGTTTTTTTCTGACTTCTCAAAAGAATCTTAAATCAAAGGCGACAATCTCTAATACATACTCTGGCTTTCTTCCTGCTGTGGAGCTCACTTTGATGTCATCAGTTGAAGTATTAACCTTGAAATGGACATACAGGTTGTAATATAGTTTCTCCACTAGCAGTTAGGCAGGTACATGGTGACCTTTGTTAGCAAAAATGCACTTTAAATCTGTTTCTAATACTATTTTATGGATGGTGCTTGATGACAGTCTCATTACTCTGAAAACTGTGATGTTTTGTAATACTCGTGTAGCTAAATTAGCATTGTTACTATTATTTATTAATATTTGTAACCTTGAGTCAGAATTTTACTTAGCTGGAGTATTTCTCATGAGGATATCAATGGTAATTATTTAACCATCACTATGGATTTTCTGGCATGTGCCTGACCATGAAGCCTTTGCAATTCTTCAAAAGACCATGTTGCCTTTTTTTCCTATCAATTCATGGTCAATGTGTATGTTACAAGTTAAGCTTCTTTTGCAGTGCCTAACTCTACCAGGAATGGTCTGATCAGACATTAATAATTTAGCTCATATATGTGTTTGCTGTCACTCTGAATTCTCAGAAAGACAGCATCTCTCTCTGTACCAGCATTCAATGACACATCAGAAAAATCTCCCCACAGAGAGGTGCAATTGCTGTTGAAAGATTCTTTCACATCAGAAAATCTATCAAAAACATAGGGTAGTCTTCTACAAATGAACAGGGTCATAAGATATAAATCAAGATGACACAAATGAAGCAAAGAAAGGGGAAACAAAGTGGAAGTTAAACAAAGTTAGTACAGGGTGATGTATTATATATTCAGAAGGGACAAAGACTCACCTGTGCTTTCACCTATTGAGCTACGTATTACAGTATGAAAGGAAAGGCACTGGAAACCCAGAAGTAACAAAAACCAGACTTGTCTATCTTCAGTGGAAGGTTTAGAGGGGGTGGGTGTGTGAGGTGTGCATTCAGTGAGTATATGCCTTTGGTTGGATACCTTTAATTTTGCTTCAGCTAATTGAAGTCATCCAACTGAAGCTACCTGGCTCCAGCAGTCTGCACTTCACTTCCACTGATTTTGCTGATATATTTTCCGTGTTAGCAGATCAGCCAGCTGAGAAATGGTGTGATGTTTACTCAGTGCACATATCAAATGTTGTTTTGCAGGGCTGTGAGCTCTGATTCTTCAGTAGTGCCAGAGCCGAATGTCACCGCTGACACAACATGCTTGAGTTACACTGAAGTTCATGGCATAGCTTTAAAGTTTGCTCTGGCTTCAGATCTTACCTGAAAAGTACAGGTCAGTAATCTTCAGTAGACATGGTGAATATACTATAGATAAAAGGGTAACAAAAGGGGCTCTAGCACAGGAGAGAGTAGTCACACAGTTGAGTCAGCATCAAAAAGAGCCTTTATTTTTTAGCCAGATTGTATAAAAAGTATTGATGAGGAGCTTGGCCTGAATTACATTTACATTGCCAATATATTTTGTTTTAAATTTAAGGATGCTAGTTCTCTGAGCTGCTCTGTGCCAATCTAGAATGCAACTGAAAGTCAAGTCATTGTGAAAGCCTTCAGAAGTGAAGATAAAAGGACCCAAAGCCCAATGAATCTACATCTACTGCAGTGCAATCTGTCTGGCTCTTTGCCTGTCTGGCTCTTTAACACCAGTTTTCAGTTTCTAGATAGTGCAGCCTGATGTTCTGACTGATCAGTTTTAGCCAAATTTATGTTTTTCTCTCAGAAAATGGTTTCCAATAATCTTAAGATTTCAAGAAAACTATTCCTTTGAGAAAGCAATTGGTTTTATTTTTCTCATACAATCAAATCAATGCTATGTATAGCACTGGTGCTATTGCCAGGAAAGCAGGAGAAGGAAAGGTCACGGTGAAGGCTTCTCCCACTGCCTGAGTGAGCTGGGATGCTCCCCTCCAAGGGCTTCACACCATGACCCAAAGACAGCACTGTCACGAGTTGTGCACCCATGACAGTTTGGTGTCTGGCAGCTGGAGTGCTTTTGCTAATAGCTCTGGGAAGCCTTTCAGGGTCCCATGCTCCCTCCTAAAAAAAACAGGGTAAAATGGGATGGACAAAGAGACGGAAACTGTTATCAATTTGTGCACTGTGATGTAGAGGTTCAGTCTGGGGGAGTTTCCTGTTTGGGATGGTATGCCAAGAGATGTTTTTCCACCCAGATTTATCTTAAATCTTAACCTTCCCACTGCCCATTACCATTAATATCTGCCACCCCTCAACTCCCCTCAATGCAGCTCCTTTTCCTGCATGGCTGCAACAGTAACCTCCAGTAACCAGGTCTCGGACACGCTTGACTTCTTCAAAAAGGGGGACGGCCTCCACTAATCTTCCAGGTAGGTGTAATTTTCTTTCTAATATGTTAAAATTTCCAATCATCCTTTCTTTCTCACCTTAGGGTTACAGAGTTGGGTTTTTAAAGAACAGCACAGGATCTTAGGGTCACTAAGATCAGTGATTCCTTAGCTAGTCTTCAGATTTTTCCAGGTCTTTCTTGGGCAATCCAATCATTCGTTTGCTTAACTGAAAGAGTTTGGATCCTCATTTTCTGTAAGCTCTTCTAAGTTTGGGGGGATGTTGGTTTTTTTTCTTCTAAGTTGTTTGTTTGTTATTTGTTTGTTCATTTGTTTTGCAAGAACTAAGAGGTTTTAATTTAGAGAGTCTTTGAATGGCCCAGCCAGCCCCTTCCTCATGTGAGAAGAATATAATAACATAATCATAAGGGCTTTCCTTTTTTTTTCCATTTGTCTAACTGCTTGAAGTTGATCCTGAGGGACTTCAAATGCAAGGTAATTATTGGGTAAGTAGTTCTTATTACTTCATCTGCAGAAGTTCACTTCATTGATGCGCATCACATGCTCAATTTCTCTTTATCGACCTAATGTAATAAGAGAGGTTGTAACTTCACTGAAAATAATAGTAAATATGAAGGGTATTTTTTATGACAGCACTCCACATCAAAAGGTTTCAGAGGCAGATTTCTTAACTTTCAGTAGCACAGTTGTATACGTCTAAATAAAAGCTTTACAGTAGCATGATGAGAATCTTTAACTTGGAGTTTCATATTAGAATAAGCAAATATTAATGAAATTCTGAAATGTTTGATCCTCTGGTGACCCATCCTGCTTTCCTTTGCTGTCTACAGCTATTACAGATACATGTCTCCAGAGAATCAAATAAATGGTTGTAGTCATTGCTAAAATATTCAGCCAGAAGATGTTAGGTTTAAGCTATTTTTATCAGAGTACCTGCATAAACACAATCACTTGTTCATTTTTCTTTTATTTTTGTTTAACTGAGGTCCTTCTCTCTCACACAGATGGAGGGTAGCTTTGGAAAGAGAGGGGCTTGTGAACTCTGCTATATAGAGCTGTGTCCCGTAGCTCTGGATGTACTCCGTATGGGTGAGACTCTCTCTTTGTCCTGTGACTTGTTCATGCCTACACTTTCTTTCCAGCCACAGAGGAGACCTTCTCCCTTTTCATGAAGCCACCTTTTAAAGGAAGGCCTGTTATTTTGTTACCTAAGTCTATGTTTTCCAGTAAATGTAGGTGGAATCAGTCTGAGTTTGTACAGTCTTGTGGCTGTCTCCGAAACTGTTTCTTTGCAAGTTTTAAGTGGTGCAGGCATTTTATTTTACAAGTAGAAGCAAAGTTTTAGCTACTCTCAGGAATGATATGCACTTAAAACTGTAAAACTGTATGCTTCAAACTTTTTAACTGTGGGAAAATATGCATTTCTTTAAAATTTGCAAGTAGGTGGATTTTTTCTGTCTTGCCAAGCTTTGTAGGAATTACATAGCCCTACAAGCAATTTATAAGTATTTTATAGACTTTGGTGAGTTCAGAAATGCTACAGCTTTTCTCTTATGGTTTAATGCATATATGAGACAGTGAATCTGTCAGTATGTCTAATTGCAGAAAATGCAAGTACCAGGAAGTCTACACAAGGTGTACAAAGCATGCCAGAGGTGTGAACTTCACTGTTTCTTTCCTATCAGTTTCAGGAAGACCAAGGTCTTAAAAAATTGTAGGTGTCAACTAGAAATTAATGTGGCCATGTGTCTCACACGTCTGCCTGAAGTTTGGCTCTTACACCCAAACTTCGTTAGAAAGGATTTACTCTCCATATTTGCCTTGGTTTTATTTCCCTGCCACCATAACCAAAATTAAAACCTCATCTGGGGGAATTTCATGTGTATACCACTGTATTAAAGCATCTCAATAGGGGCTTGCAAGGCTGGTGCATATATATATATATATGTATGTAGGTTTGGGCTTTTGTTTTTCATCTTTGATTGCTTCTGTGGATTTCTTCCTGGGTTATTCCTCTGTAGCTTCAAAGTTTGGCTCAGAAAAGCTCAGAGGCCAATATTTGTATTCCTTGTTTGAATTCCATGTTATGGAAGACATAGCAGAGGCAGCCCAGTAATTAAAAAGTGAATGTTTTACTGATGTTGCCTTGAATCTCATGCAACAAGAAAAGCTAATTTAATGACTGAAGCAACAACTTTGGTTAAAAAGACATCCTGTATGTGGAATCCAAGATTTATGTCCTGGAAGGATCAACTCTTTGTCCTTCATTTGTCCAGCATTAAATAGTCCATTGAGAAGAGCTTGTCTACAATGAATGGATGATGAACCTCACCCGATCCCCAGCCCAGTTCCTTCTGATAAAGCTGTGGTTTCTCTATTCTCTTTGAATGAAGTCTTGTTTTTGGTTTTGCTCTGCTGTTTGCTCATCAGTTACTGTCTCCAATATATATATATATATGTGTGTGTGTGTGTTCTATACTCTTGCTGCTTCACAGTTTATGTACAGATAACAAGAAATTAAGTCTGCAACATATAAGTTACTTCAATAATAATTGCATCAGTGCATCAGACTCAATGTGATTATTTTTTATAAGTAATGGTCCCTAGTAATTCAAAATTTATAAATAGGATGTGGGACAAAGATATCTAGCCCAGAACAATGTTTTCAGAAATCCTGTTTTTGCAGCTCCTTTCCTACTATTCAGATGCATTTTTTTGATTTGTGTCTGAAGCTCAGGAGGAAAATAATCAGCTTTTGTGGGATTTAGACATTATAGTGCTTCTCTGTTTCTAAGCACTCAAGTAATAAAGGCTTTGTGAATTATCTCCAGCATACAGTATTACTATGTTTCCAAAACTGTCATTGCAGTTGAGTTTAATGGCTACTCTACAACTTAGGAGCAGCTATGAAAATCAAAAAGGATGGCATCACAATTACAGACTAAAATCCAGAAAGCTGCAGTTCTTGCTCCAAGAAAAATATTGAATGCATTAGCAGAACATGACTTCATTAACAGCATTAAAAGTTATCATTTATGGGAAGGCAAGCTCTACTTTGGCACACATTTCAGTGAATGACAGCAACTTTTTAAATATTTCAACTAATATGCATTGACAGATAGCTTAGGGCAGCAGGTCTAAAAGCATTTAAGATTACAGCAATGATCCTTAAAATAATATGAAGAATTGTTACTGCACTAATTTTTTCATTTTAAAAAGACATTTTGCAGATTGTTTTGTGTATACTAATGTTCATATATAATTAAAACCACAGACATGTCTCCTAGGTAATTATGCTCAGTACCTTTCTAAAAATACAGTCTTTTAGACTTTTTTTTTCCTTCACAGTAGAAAAAGAAACATATTCTAGATTTTGCTACTTTGTGACTGTTATAATTTTGTTTAGAGTTGACTCAGTTTTGGACTGGGGGAGTTGGATTTTTTCCTTCTGCTTCTCTTCTATCCTCATGTCTATGTGCGAAACCTACATAATTCTCATCAGTCCTTTCTTCAGCCCTGGCAGGATTTGTTGATAATCTCTTATTTCTATCTAGCCTTCAGTGAGTCCTCTCCTAGGCTGCTGCCACTGCTACTACCACACTGAGGTTTAGCTCTTGTGACATGATCCTTCTGGGAACAGCAGGATAGATTTCTTGGATTTCTGCAAGCCACCTATCTGAGTAAGAATATGGAGTTCAAACACTGGTGTTGTTTCCTGAGCCAGCAAACCAATATTGATAATATTTCTTAGCTGTTTTGACATTTATTTTTTTTTCTCTTCAATCTCATGATTGTTAAAAGAATAGTTGCTACGATTTTGATTTAGGACAGCATCATTCAATGTTTGAGAAAATCAAGATCAATTTCAATTAAGCTTTTCAAATTATCTTTTACTTACAGAAAAAGAAAATCAAAGTGGGTAGGAATGCTGTTGTGTCTCTGAGGATTTCTTGTTTACAATTGTAAGTCTTGATTCTCTTCTGTTTTACAGTGATATCAATGAGGCATAAATGTTAGGCACAATGTAAATGTAGACTGATATAAAAGCAGGGGGGAGGGAGGAAAGAATTTGGGCCTACAATGGGCAGAATAGAGAGTATTTAGATGCAGATAGAGTGCATGATCTTCAGAGCAGAGAGGGCAAAACCAGAAGATCTGTGATTCTGAAGTGGACAGGAATCTAAACTCAAATCCTGCAGGAAAGCACAAGAGGTAGCTGATTTGATGTCCCTTCCCAGTCTTGCAACAATTATGTGTTTCCAGATATGCCTCTTTGGACAGGAAGATATACAGGTAAGACGTTTGACAGACAGAAAGAGAACATAATCATGTGATGCACCCTTCTCTCCAGCTCCAGGGACTGAGAAAGGAAACGAAAGGCAGATACATTGTTCCCATGTCCTGACTGGTTCTGGCTGGCTGCGGAGGCCAAACGCACCTTGCCATACTTAAGAATACCCAGGGAGTTTCTGGGAAACAGGAGAGCCTCTCAGCAGCTGCGTTGGCTGAGGTGTTGCAGATCCAGCAGGCCCTGCCTTTGCTGTGCGTTGGAGCAGCTGACATAGAGCAGACTTCTCTCCGAGGCAGTTAGAGAAGTCATGCAAGCCTCATTTGCTGTCACCACATGTCAACAGAGTAAATAGCCTCTTCTGTAATGGAGCTGGGCACTCTTGCTGTCATACTAAAGGGGATGAAAAATGAAGTTTAAAGAAATTTGTGAAGAAAGCAGAAAAGTAAAGTCAAGGTAAATTCAAACCTGTTCTTCAGCTCATTACAGTGAGAAGAGTGTGGACAAGATACCAGCAAGTCCTGGAGAGAAGGAAAAGGGCACTATGACAGTTAACAGTGGGCAGTGGAAGTGCATGGAATATTCAGTTTCTTGCTCACATCTAAATTTCTACTAATGTTTTCAACAATAATGGCCATTAAACAGCAACACATATATACAGAAAAGCTTGTATTGTGTGGAAGTGATCACTACAGACCACCCTGTGGCACTAAAGAACTGCCTGAGCACTGCAAGGCGCTGCTCCCTCTGAGAACCTGCCAGCACTGGATGCACATATATGTCCTTGCTGCCACTTACTGAGAGGGGCTTTGGTATCCCTGAGCGAGCTGCAATGTCACCAAAGAAAGCAAAGTTTCCTCGAGTCACCGAAAAATCAATTATGTAATTCGCATTTGGCAAGTGTGTGGAGAGGAAAGAACAAATCATGAAGGTGGTTGCTGTGCTCTGTATCCAGCACCTAGATGGAGAAATGCACAGGCACTGAAACAAAAGGATTAAAATTCGTTTGCAGAAAAGGGGTAAGAGAAACGTAGAAGGGGCTGAGGGGAATGTAAAGAGGCTTCAGGAGAGAAAGAAAGTCCCTGAGACTCCCATTCCTTGGGAAGAAGAGAACAAAAGGACTGGAGATAGTTAAGGGAAAGGAAAACTGGTGAAGTGCTCACACAAAAATTATGGAGGCGGATCTGATGAGATTTACTGGGGAGACTACTGAAGGGTTTAGGAAGGAGCAAAGAAATGCAGTTTAGAGGGATCAAAAACTTCCTATAAAAAAGTGAGAAATGAAGAAGTCTACAGAAAGTTCACCCAGACATAAAATGATAATGCTGGAAAAGAAGTAAGAATAAGAGCAGGACTAGGATGTTATTGACTCTGGTTTATTGAGTGTTTGGCCCATCCAGCATTCTGCCCTGTAGGTGACTGATAGCTTGCTTCCCTCCCTAGATTCTGCTTCTTTGAATACAGTCTACACCATCTTCTTTTTTTTTTCCTTCCAAAAAGCTGCCTGATCTTGCATTTATACAGCTGAAAGTCCATAAGAATTCAAAAGAAGTAATCTTATAGCAAAAAGCAGTATTAAAATAGCAAAGCACTGTGCCTCCACAG